TATGCATTATTTCTTATACTTGACGCTAACATACGATGCAGAAGTAATTGCCCCAATATCAGTCTCTATTTCTCTTTATTAAAAAGATACTGTAAGAAAACTCTTTCTACCAGTAGATACAGAATATTCTCCCCTGTCAAATCGTGTATAACTTCTTTTTAAAAAGAGGTTATATACGATTTGAAAGAGGAAAACATTCTCTCTCTGCTGTTAAAAAGAGTTTTATTACAGCATTCTTTTATTGAAGAGAAATACAGACCGATATTCGTGCAATTACTTTTGGGTTTGTGTGTGGATTCAGATGAGTGAGTAAGCGGGGTATAGCTGTGTCTGCAACTATTTCGTGTTCTTTCACTCACACAAACGCCCGAGCTCTTCTAGGCCTACATTCACACCCTTTTATTCTCGTCTTGCATCATTTATTCTTGCTTGTATGACCATAAATGCCTGTTAATTTCGCTGTATTTTCGTTTCATTCTAGATCAATCTATTATCGTTATTTTCGAAAAATCTCTCGATTGTTCATTACAAAAAAAAATCTTTCTATTATTTGCGAAAAAAAAGGAAATAGAATCCAATATTAATTGCTTGAACGAAAATATGTGGCATTATACAACATTATTCAGCTTATTTCTGCTAATAGTGTCTTCAAGAACACACGAACACTGGTCAACAGCATCCTTTCCATCTGTTTTGTATGTTTGGTCTGGGCAAGATAATTCCGTATCGAATGCCTCTGATTTTGTTGCTGTAATCGACTTTGATGAGACATCGCCTACCTATGGACATATTTTGAAAACAGTTTCACTTGTTTCGGACGTCGCTCACGGCATTGCAGAAAAAGGAAATGAGCCACATCATTCAGCTGTTTCTGCCAATGGCCGCTATTTTATTAGTGGTGGTCTTCTCAGTTATCTTTCAGGAAATAAGGAAGTATTTGTCTGGAAAATTCCCGAAGATCCTTCGAAAGACCCGAAGTTTCTATATGCACTTAATGTACCAAGTGCGTGTCCAGACGAGTTTCTACCGATTGGTGGCTCTGAGTTTCTTGTAAGTATGATGTGTAATGAGCAAGGTGCCAGTCCAGGCAATATGGTACATATCAATGCTGAGACTGGTATGGCGAAATCAATTCTAAAAAACATATCAGCTTTCGTTGACTTTAATCCACATGGGTATGGCCGACTCCCCAACGGTTCAATCTTCGTCGCAGACTTTCTTGAATCTCGTTCATTAGTTGGCACCGATCCATCACAGATTATATTTCGAAATACGGCTCGACATATTCTTTCTGATGGAACATTAGAGCGTACTTTTCGATTTCAATTTCCTACTACACTGGGATCATCAAGTGGAATCGGACAAGGCATTGGATTTATGGAACTTAAAACTATTCCTGGTGATCCATTAGGACGTTCTTATGTCAGTGGTAGTAATGTGAACAATATGTATTTAATCGGCCCTGGCATGCCAGAACCTATTCTAGCTCTTGATTTCTCTCAAATAAATGGTTATCAACAACGACTTAGTGCTGGTCTTTTGTCGATGTTTCCAAATGGCAAACGTTTATTAATGACTTTTCAAATGCGATATGTCGTTTTAGTGAATATAGCAAGACCAGAAAAATCAAATATTCTTCGTGTATTTGACTTTTGCTCTATTCAAACAATCCAACATGTGAAAATTGGTATTCCTGGTTCATTCAAACATACAACTTTTGCCCAATTCTGTACTCAAAATAATAATAATGTTGGTTCACATACTGTTATATATCTGAAAGATGAGAATCGATTCATTGTGATAAACTATTTTCTCAAATTTGGCTTGGCTCAATTTCCCGGCACACGAACTATGCATGCATTTAAACTCAATAAGGATCTGACAGATTTCGAATATGACCATAGGTTTAATCCTAATTTTCAATCTGATGTTTCACCCAATAAACAACGTCAAACACTCCATTCACTACAAGCATATCCGCACCATCTTCAATATTTGAAGTTAGACGAAAAGAAACATTGATTTCCGGACTCTAAAATATGAGCACAGACATGAGCTATCACCTAGACTATTATTCTATGAAATGATATCAATTCTGAGACCATTTCAAAATAAATCCTAGTCGGTCGGTTGCCATCTCTTCATTCTTCTGTTCCGATATTTCTATATTACTGAACTACTCCTCTATTCCCTTATTACTTTATTTCAAAGGCCAACTAGTTGAAGTCAGATTTTTTTTCACTTTCTGATTTGTACGTCTTTATAAATTTTTCTTCTATGTTTTTTTTGTGTTTCTCGGTTTTTCTAAGTTTTTGGATTCTTTTTTTATTTCAAAATAAAAAAAACCCAGCTATTTCACGTTTGCTCTATTGTCTTATTCCGGCATCTCTTTATTCTTTTATTGCTTCGTTCCTATATCGCTATTGCAGAAAATTTGATTTCCTAATGCTTTGTTTGTAGAAGGCTGAACTTTTTGGAATCTGGGTGTGGGTGGGTGTGATCATATTCTTTGTAGACAATCACACTCACAGTCCACAGCCAACACCCACATCCACATGCACACCTGCATCCCACACCCACCCGCACCGGCACCTACACTGGCACCCACACCCACACCGATCCACATCCACTCACACCCGCACCGGCATCTACACCCGCACCCGCACCCGCATCCACACCCACTCACACCCGTATCCACGCCCATCCTATGGATACTCCGATAAGATAGGGCTTGAGAGCCTATGGGTACCTCCATATTATAGCTCTTGTGCATCTATAGGTACTTCTATATTATGACCCTTGAGGACCTATAGGCAGTGTTTATAATGGAGTTATGACTCATAACGTACAAACAAAGGATTTTCTGTTTCAGAAACAATACAAAGTATCCAGAAAAAGGCCGAATCCTTGCTGTTAGAAACACTGGGACTGATATCAATGATTAAAATATGGATGCGTAAATGCGCTGTAAGTTCGAAGTTTACGTGTGGGCCTTACTATTTTTTTGACCGATTCTTTGCTCTTTTTTTGTGTGGGCATTTACAATGTGTTATTGTTATTGGTTCTTTCGCAAAGATAATGAATAAAATGGTCGTCATTTTGATATCGCATAGTGATACTTACCTTAATCGAATGAATTAGATAAGAAAAAAATCAATATTAGTAATAACGTTATAGGATGAGAACAAAAACAGATGGAAAATATATATTGATTGAAACCTATAAAATGTAAAAACGCTCGAAGGATAAATGCTCTTTATTGAGAAAAAACAACATCAAGATGAAATCTTTAACAACTGCTTTGATCGTCTGTTTATTTGGCTATGTTTACTCAGCTTTATCCGTTCAACAGTTTGTTGATAAAATGTTATCAAATACACAGAATAAAGAACAACTTGTTGAAAGTAATCCAGAATTAGTTAATCATGTTTATCGATATTTTCAAGAAGTATATCCTCGTCAAGATTCAGGTAGAATGATCGATTTTAAAGCATCTCAACGTGTGGAAATATTTAAATCAAATTTAAAATATGTTATTCGACATAATGAAGATCCTTCATCAACATTTAAATTAAAAATAAATAAATTTAGTGATTGGACTGATGAAGAAAGAGATAGATTACGTTCGAAAATGCATGCTCAACCAAATAGTAAGAAACAATCAACGGAATTACGTAGTCGCGCAGTAATTCCACCAGAATATGATTGGACTAATCAAACGCGCGTCCCAGGGGCTGTTACGCCTGTTAAAAATCAACATCATTGTGGTTCATGTTATGCTTTTGGTTTTGTTGGAGGTTTAGAAAAAACATATGCAGAAATTTATAAAGAATCTGGTCCATTAAGTCCACAACAAATAATTGATTGTTCAGGACAAGGTGGCTGTGACGGAGGAAGTTTTGTTGGATCATTTTATTATCTTCAAAGAAATCATTATAAACTTAATTTAGAAAAAGATTATCCACAACCAGCCAATGCTGCAGAAAAACAAAAATGTCAACATTCAGATGGAGTACTGCTTACATATAATTCAACATATAAACTTCAATATCACGAAATACCAGCTGAAGATGAAGAATTTATGAAAAAAATTGTGTATGAACAAGGTCCAGTTGTTGTTTCTTTTGATTGTGGAGAACGTACAGGCAATGATACTATCTTACGAGAAGTATCACAAAAATTTGATCATTATGCATCTGGTATTTTTGATGTACCTGGCTGTCCAGCAAATAGAAATCTGAATCATAATCCTGTTGTTGTTGGTTATGGTACTGAAAATGGTGTTGACTATTGGAAAATAAAAAATTCATGGGGAGCAGACTGGGGTGAGGATGGTTATATCAAAGTTAAACGAAATGATAACATGTGTGGAATTGCTACTTCTTCTTTTTATGCTGGATTATTTTCGGATCGTGACTCTCATTAATAAATTCAAATTGGTTAGATGAAAAATTTAATTGAATAAGAGTTTTTTTGTTCTTACACATATGATGACCTTGATATGTGTTGACACGACAGACATCTATCCATAAATGTGAAATTAAACTAGCCCAGGTCGAAAAGTACCGGCCGGTTCCGGCAGGAAAACACCAGAAAGCAACGGAACATGGAAGCAATATTCCGGTCGGAAATTTTTCGGATTTTTTTCCGGTGGATTCCAGCCAATTCCTGTTCTTTCCGGCAGGAACCCGCCGGAAAAAGTCCGAAAAATTTCCGGCCGGAATACTGCTTCCATGTTCCGTTGAGTTCCGGTGTTTTTCTGCAGGAACCGGCGGTCGTTCCACGTCTTTCCTGCCGGTTCCTGCAGTATCCGGTGACCGGAACGATCGACTTGGGAGTAATTGGTAGAGAGTTATATATTTCTCTTGACTCAGAGTCAAACTTTTAGTTTTTATCAGATCTGGAACCATGTTAAGATTTAACTTAAAATCCAGTTTTCATTCAACTTCGAGTTTGAATAGGCAAGATCCAAAATCACTCTACTAAAGAATTGTGGCTCCTTACACACTTGAGTTGGAGTCTGTTAGCGATTGTTCTTGTAAAAAGCGACGAGCACTAAGTGCTCGGTCAAAAATAAGTGAGCTGGACACGTAAACTCGAAATTTCGAGCTGACTTGCGCATCTACATTTTATAAATCATTCCAAGTCCATGTTTTATCATAGACAGATGCTTCCAAAGCTAAACATAGGTTGCCAAAGTCATATATATATTCTAACGAGGGAACTACTTCAACTGTGTTATGTCCTATTTAACGTTAATGTGTATATGCTTGCTTCTAAGATGTTACTTAAATATTTTTTAATCAGTTATTTTTGTTGAATCAATGACCACCAACTATAATCACTTCTTCTCTCACTCCAACTATATCTCTCTCATAGAAAAATACACCAACCAATATATAATGTTGTTACGCATTGCTACCTACGCAATAAATTCCAGTTCAAGGTCAAGAAAAACGTTTTCTTAACTTTTACGAGAATAGAAAAAAGAAAGATAATAGAGATTGAAGAAAACGAACAAGACTTATTAGATCAAAGAAAGAACGAAAGTACAGGAAGAAACAAAAGAACACACTAAGTGAAATATCTAACAGAACGAAAGAAAAGACATATAGTTGACCATATATGCATATAACAAGAGCAAGAGAACTAACATATATCGATAGCATATATAACATGTTTCCTATGACACATCTAATCTATGTGCCATAACAAACTGATTCTGTGCTTTTGGCTTCATGTTTTGGCTATAGGTGGACATCAGTGAGACTAAGAAAATCCTATAAGGGTTCGTGCCCATGGCTCTTCCTTTCCGAGATATAGTCAAAACTGCATAGTGGTCCAAAAGTCGGTTCACCGAAAAAAAACCTGAATATTTCCATTATGTTATGGCTCGAGCAAACGAGCTGAATTTTTATCAGTGATAGAGGCATGTTAAAGGTTTATATCCATAAAGAGATGTCTAGAGAGACCCTTTATGGCACAGCTAGCCATCGGTCACTCTAGCTTCACGAGGGTTCAAAATCATAAAAATAACGAAAAGTTATCCTGCAGTCAAAGGTGTCCCATCGGTGGGCTATTTAGCATGTAGTGGACCGTTGCTCACTGAGTTTTCCAGTAGATAAAGTACAAAATTTCTCTCAATAGGTTTTTGAAGCCAGTTCGAATTAAAAATTGCAGAAAAACAGCGCAAAAGATGGGTGTGGGTGTGAGTGGGTGGGTGTGATATGGGTGAGTGTGGGTGGGTGAGTGGGTGTGGGTATTGGTGTCGGTGTGGGTGTGGGCATCGGTGTCGGCGTGACTTATCTTCACACCTACGCTACACCCACACTCACATCCGCACCCAAGCCCAAGCCCAACCCATACCCATACCACCACCTCACGCCCATACCACCCGCATCCACACCCGTTCCACACCCACAGCCACACCCACACCCATCCTACACCCACACCCATCCCACACCCATACCCAAATGCACAACCACCTGAAGATATGCTGATAAAAATACGATATTAATGTTTCACTTTGATCGATGTTCTTATAAATAACATCCATCGTCAATCGTTTGTGTAATTCATAAATGTTGACTTCATGTTGTTGTTCAGCGTTCATCATTTGTGACAATTGATTTAACATAGCTTCAATACATCCATTGATCGGTGGAAACATAAATTTAAGTTTAGCAGATGAAAATGTTGGATTAATAACATATCGTTGATGAGGCCATTCTTGTTCACGAGCTCGAAAAAGATTAGATGCCTTATTTGAATTTTCGGACATCTCTGTAGTTTCCTGTTCATCAAAGTATAGGAGATATAAGGAGGTATAGGAAATATAGGAAGTATAGGGAGGTATAAGGGGGTATAGGAGATACAGGAGGTATAGGAATTGATTTTTTCGAGCAAGGGTTGGCAAGTGGCACTAATATATTTTATGAATAGATGTGGGTGTGGGTGTGAGTGTCGGTGTAGCTGCTCTGTTCAACGACACCCACACCTACACTCACGCCAACAAGCCCATG